TAGTTTCAGCTGTACAATACAGTGCAATAGTTATACTTTTTACCCCTCGAAGTGACAACCCCCAAGTTTATATTCTTTTATTAATCAAATGTTGACAAATTCAGAATGTGCCTATATTTCAAGGCCACTATTGTTTCCTCAATGGTCAGATTTTAATTAGGTTCAACTAGTTTTCAGATGAAGCAGATTTGCTCACCTTTCAAAGTAATTTATTGCTGTGTATGTGAATATGAAGAATGTCCATCAGATAGGAACCCCTGATCTCATTAGATGAGCAGACTTAATAAAAACTAGAAAGTCATCAGCTTTTCCAGTCTGTCAAGTCTAAATCTATCTTCAAGTCAAGATACATTCATTGTGTTTTATTTTATTACTTGGTTTTATTCTAGCAGCTTAAAGCATTTCTCTTTTCAGCAAAGCAGTGAACAAGGAGTATGAAGAATATGTTTTAACTGTTGGTGATTTCGACGAGAGGATCTTTTTGGGAGCAGATGCAGAAGAGGAAATTGGAACTCCTCGAAAGTTCCCTGGTGACACCCCATTAGGGAAACTGGCAGCACAGGCTAATGTGGACTGTAACCTTCAACAGCACTTTGAAAAAGTAATATAACCTAGCCTGGCCTCAGTCTTGAATGATCTGTTTTCTCTCTGTGTGTGATTCTACTAACAGCAGAAGCATCTTTCAAGTTAAATCTTGCGTTTCTTCTACTAATTCATATTTCTCATGAAAGCCTTCAAAGGTAATTTTTAAAACTATGGCGTTTAGTATTTTTACCTCATTTCTTGCTATTTTTCGTATTTTTGATACATTATCCCAGAGCGCCTGGGATTTTCAGTATACTATGTGTCTTTTGATATAAGGAAGGATTTATGCTTTCTTACCCTTCGTTCTTTGCATCACTTTAGCCACTATTCTGTTTCTTTAAAATTTAGTTTGCTTTCTAACCCATGACAAACTATGTACTCTTCCCAATTTCAGCTACATAACTCTGAACTTGATTATTAATAGCCAAGGCTTAATGTGTATTTATGTGTAAAATGGGTTGGAGGATGAGATCTAATGGAAATAACGCTAGTCTAGAAGATAGAAAACCTATGCTTTAGTTCAAGCTCTGCCATTTACTTTGTCAGTTTAAACAAGTTTTTGAAACTTCTCTGTGCCTGTTCCCTCACATGTAAAATGAAAATGTGTATGTTATATTTCAAATGAATGTTAGGAAGAGAAAATGAGATTATAGATAGTAAGAACTTTGAAAACGTGATACTCAAATGTAAGGATGTTATTGGCATAATATTGCTAAAAATATGGTGGGTAGCCACAAGACGGGGTGGGGAGGAAGTAACCTATTAAATATGTACTGAATTAAACTCATAATGAGGGGGAAGGTTAACTTTTTAATCTCACAGATTTTTCTTTTTTGACAGAAAACATCATTTGCACCTTCTACCCCACTGACAGGACGGCGATATTTACGAGAAAAAGAAGCAGTCATTACTCCTGTTGCTTCAGCCACCCAAAGTGTGAGCCGATTACAGAGTATTGTGGCCGGACTGAAAAATGCACCAAGCGAACAACTTATAAATATTTTTGAGTGAGTCCAATACTATTATTTTTCTAAATGTCCCTCTTAAATTAGATTCTGTATTTCATTCTGTTTTCAGCATATTCAGAATTCTTAAGATAGTGGATATACATCTGGCAGGTTTTACTATATCATTTCAATCACAAAGCATGCTTACCTAAAACTATATAGAAGTACCTATTAAAAATTACATATAAGTATTATTTCATATTATTATAGACTTTTAAGTTTAAATACATCTTAAAGGTTATTTAGGTCTGACATTCCACTCTTGTAACTACCCCTAGTTTATGCATTATTGTTCTCATTTTTACATTGACTTTAAATGGGTTCAACCTAAATGTCCATCAAGTAGGGGACTGATTACATATTTGTGGTGCAGCCATAAAATGGAATTTTATGCAATTGTTTAAGAAAAAGAATCAAGTTTCCTAGTAAAGATGATAGAATGAAGCCAGATCAGAGCACCTTCTTTCCTAATACTTAATGAATAAGAGAATAGTAAAAATCAGCAAACTATTTATCAGCAGCATCCAAATAAGGAGAGGGATATGATTTCATGCTATAAATTTCCAAAGTGGTGGTCAACAAAGGAAATGGATGATTCTGTTATACTCATCCCCAAAAGGATTACTGAGAAAAGAAGGTATGTTGATAGGATCTTGAGAATGCCCATTAATACCCCAGATATGGAGAGAAACAAATGATGTTAGTAGGCAAATGGGTAAAAAGTCACAGAAACCCCTCCAAGTGAAAGTACATACCACCACCAAGATTGTGTCAGAAATGTGAAAAACTCCCAGGGCCTGCCATTTTCCGTGATCCCATGCTAACTTGGAGAGAGATCCTCATAGATCTAGAAGATATCCCTGACTAGGTATAGTAAACTCTGGAATGGGGACATTTAACTAAATCTCAGAAAAGAAAGCAAAGCCTTGGTCCTCCAACAAAAGCTGAACATAGCACCAGCTGAGCTCTACCCTTACTCCCCAAACTTTCAGTCTACTTAAAAGTGGAGCAAACAATCCCCACCCTCAAACACAGCTGAGAAAATAAGCAGATTGCAGGTAAGGTAGGAAGACTATTGTGAAGATCTTCCCTCATAACATTTAAATAAATAGATCTGGAATGAACTACCCGTTTAAGCATAAACAAGGTGAAAAAAAGTGGCAAGGCAATTATACAAACATTTTATAGCAACAAGAGAAGGAAGAAAACAGAATGCGAGAGACACAGAACCTAAAATTAAATAAATGGAAAGACATTCCATGTTGATAGATTGGAAGATTTGATATTGTTAAAATGTCCATATTACCCAAAGCACTCTACAGATTCAATGCAATCAATATCAAAATCCCAATGGCATATTTTACAAAAATAGACAAAATATCATAAAATTCATTTGTACTTTCAAAGGACCTTTAATAACCAAAACAATCTTGAGAAAGAA